ATAATAATAATAATAATAATAATAATAATAATAATAATAATAATAATAATAATAATAATAAATAATAATAATAATAATAATAATAATAATAATAATAATAATAATAATAATAATAATAATAATAATAACAATGATTCGAATAAGAAACTGTATTAGAAATATACTTGCTGGCCCAAACTCAAAAAGGCCAAGTCCCAAATAATCCGTAAAAAACATCCGCAAATCGCCAAATCAATTTCTAAATAAGGTAACACGCACCCAACCCACCAATAAAATTGGATATTTTCATGATGCTGCGCAAATTTGCGGATGTTTTTTGCAAAAAAATACATAATTTTAAGTCCCAGTCCCAAATTTCCAAATCCAATACCCAAAACCCAATGTCAAAAATGGTACAAATCCCACAGACATCCCAAATTCCAATCCACACTGTCTATAACGGATCATTGGGACCAGGAAATTTATCCGTTATAGAGAGAATCTTAATCTGGTATAAAAAATTGTACTACATTAAGTCGTGTGGAATAAAAAAATTTTATTTGTTATTTAATTTTCTTTGACAGTTTCAATTCCTCATTTGTAAATTCCTTAAACTGTTCTTCAACAAACAAGTTTACTTTTTCAATAGCCAATAAAGCATCTTGACTTGAAATAGGAGATGTCTATTCATTAAAATTCAACATAGAAATTATTTCTTCTTCATTCAGCAAATCATCATCATCATCATCATTTTTTCCATTTCATCAATACTTTTAGTTCATTACATCGTATCTTATATCATTTATTTCAAATAATTGTTTTTTTTTTGTTGGGTTAGCAATGTGAATATATTATTTAATAAACTTTCAATTTAATTCGAGTAAAACCTTATTCGAATAGAAATCATACTATTTAAGAAAATTTTTTTGGTCCGATATTTTTTGAAGATTTCCGATAAAATTTTCCCAAACCGGGGTATTCCCCGATATTTTTTGATCACACATTCCGCACCCTGGTGTATACCCAGCCAAGACTTTTTTTCATTAATAATTTGGAACCTAAGCAACAATGAAATAGAGTTTTTTTTTAATAATAAAAAAAGCCTTAGTGGTTTGAAGTTACTATCAAAAATGAGATCAAACAAATTTTCTTTATATTTTCAAATTTGGTTAGAACGCGTAGATCACACTCACTACCATTTATTTATATATCTTCTAGCTGTTGAAATTCAAAAAATTAAAAGAAAAAATGAAATGGAGACGAATCTCAACCCAACTTAAAATAATAATACTCTTTCTTGTAGTAATAATCATCGTAACATACAACATATCATATATCTCTTTTAAACTTAGATCAATAGGTTTGCAAAACTTTATTAGAAAAAGTATTAACGAAATAAATATTTTAACTGTTTTTATATATATTAATATATAGGTCGATTAGTGACAAAAGAGCAAATTTTTAGGTTTAGTTACAATCATGACCAAGCAGTATATAACCAAAAGAAACATCCCTTTACAATAGTAACGGCAGCAAGTTCCAATCATTTTTGTGAAGTACAAAGTTGGCTTTACTATATGAAAGGTCCAATAACGTTACATCGAGAAATTGGTTTTTCAGGAAATTTA